ATTCTCTAAGAGCATTTTGTGGACAGATATTTAATTATTTTAATATTAGAAATAAAATCCTGTTCTCTCTTTGGTGCTCGGTCATCCTGCTCATCAGCATTTTGACGTGAAATTCCTCTCCCATGACCTAGTCATAATGACACAACTACCTCAGGATCCCTTCAGAGGCCAAGGACTTGCAGACTCCTAGAAAACTAACTGGAGTGGGATACAATTCAATCTGGTAGCTACTGGTTTAGGTCCAACTAAAAAAAAGAACTGCAGAGGGACCTTACAAGACTGAGCAACTGGATGATAAAACAGCAAATGAAACTCAATGCAGATAAAAATGATTTATGTGGGGAAAAATAATGTTAGCATCATATGTAAAACAACAGGTTCTCAATTGCCACTCAGAACATAACAATGAGCTTATGACAGGCAATTCCACTGAAACATCAGCTTGATATTTAGTAGCATTAAAAACATCAACCGGAGGACTTGGAGGACAGAACAGTGAGCACACACTTCCACAAATGCCACATCCTAAGCATCATGTGCAGTTCTGGTTCCTCTCCCTGGAAGAGGACATAAAAACTGAGAAAGCTCAGAAACACATGGCAAAGATCAGGAAAAGTTTGGAGTAATCTCCATAGAGGGAACAAAAAAGTAAGCTAGGACCCTCCAGCCTGGAAAAAAGATGACTGGTAAAGGATATGACAGAAGATAATAAAACCACGAGTGTCCTGACCAAGCTAGTCAGCAATCAGATGCTTGTTGTCAGTTTCAATGCAAGAAATGGGGATCATTGAACAAAACTATCAGGAGCTAAAATAATACTTCGTACAACAGGTAGGATTTTCAGGATCCCTGTGATAGGACGTTATGAGTTCTTAAAGTTCACTTGGTCTCAGGGAGCAAATTAATGGAGGACAAATATGCAAGCGACCATTAAACCCAAAAACTTCATCTCTGGTCCAAGAAGTCCCTGAGGTCTGGAAGAATATTCTGGGCAAGGATTGTTGTACATTTACCCCATTCTTACATAAAGTGGCCCATTGTTTTGGCCACTGTTCATATCTGTTATCCCTGTGAGAACAGGCAAGGGTCCATTGCTAACATACCTGAAAGCCTTTGAGCTACACAAAAAGAGAACTTGGGAGAAGTCTGTAATTTCAAGGGATGACAAACAGAAAATGGGAAGAGGCAAAACATCAGAAATATAAGGAGGTACTAAGGTGAGGCAGGAGTGTACAGGCACATTCCCAAGTGATGGTTCAGTGACAAAGCGTCTGGAATTACCCATCCTGCCAAAGCCACACAGGGATAACTCTTTTAAAGAAAAAATTTGGCTACATAGGCAAACACCTATGTAGCCAACCGTTTGCTTAAATTGCAACTGCATAGAAATACCAAGCACAGAAGAAACTTAAAATTGTAACTTGAGCAGCCACACCCTAAGAAAAAAACCCAGATTTTAGTCAAAAAACAGTACTAAGATTTACGAAACACAGAGCTACAAATTAAATAATAATTCAATACAACCATGTATTTGGTACACGGATGAGTGGTAGATGTGCAAAATCCACCTGGAGGGGAAAAGGTGCAAAGTACACACCTAGGTGAGCATTTGATGCAGCAGGGTACATGCAGTCTGGGTCCCTCCAAAAGGGGCCTGTGCTGGGCATGGGCAGCGTGGTGCCTCCCATCCCTGTGCCAGCTGCAGATCACCCTGCAACACGTGCCAACAAACCTTCCTGAGCGCCAGCTGTGAAGCCGACTGGCAAGAACATGCAGTGGCGCGAGCATGCCAGCCAACTTTATTGGGACATTTGTTGGGGATAACAGAACTGCTGTTGTATCCACGCCGCTTTGCTGGGGGTTGTTTACAAGACTTGTCCTGGAGGGAGAGAGCAGGGAGAGACAGCGTGCAGAGTTCAGCTCCGGCGGCAATGCAGCACGAGCATGCCACTGATTGTTTTCTGGGCTGGAGTTTTCCCACTGGAAGAAAGATTTCTCTTTGCTGCAGCCTTGAAAAGGGGTTGTTACATGCGCTACATTGCTTTCTTTTAGTGCCAAATCTAAATTTGAAATTCATAGGCAGGAATTTTTCAAGGCGTCTGTATACTTTGAGAAGCCTCACTGACATTTAATAGGATTTAGACATCTAAGAAAAAAAACAAATCACCCCAGTGGCACTAGGCTATGGTATATTAACTTTGCAGTAAACTAAAGGAAGAAAATTCTAACAAATTTCCAAAAGTAACAAATTACTAACATTAGGTAAATGTTGAAAAAAAGCATTCCATGTGCATTCCCTCTTTATCTTTCTAGGTTTTTCAGTCAACAGATTTTCTAGTTGTTCCTGAGGACATCTCTGAGCAGAACATCATCAGGCTATTCGTTTAGAAGCATGAGTTTTTTTCAATTTTCCCCTCTATCACAGATAAACCCCCCTGCCATCAGTGTACCAGTTTAGAAACATCCTGTGTTTCTAAAAATCAGTGATGTTAACTAGAGAAATCTCACAACATTTAATAGGGACTACTATTAAGTAGTAGTCCCAAGGATGGACTACATAATAACTTTAAACTTAAGACTTTTGCATTTTCAGACTTACCACGACTGCACATCACTTCTGTCTTCCTTTTAAATTATTTGCAGCAACCCACATTCAAAATCACCAGAGCAGAAATTCGGCCACCTGAGCATCAGACTCACAGTATCACAGAGCTCAGCAGAGACAGACAAACAAAACACACTCCATTTCATCAGGCTCCCAGCCTGGGAAGCTAGGACACTGTTTTCAGCCACTACCCAGACAGTTTTGGGCATCTTTCTTTCTGGCTATCAAGGTAAGAGTAATTGGGACAGAGCAACTGGTGCAAGTAAACTCACACTATTAAAAAAACCCCAAAACAATAAATCTGCAATCCCTGGATTTGGTTGGAGATACGGAGTAAAACTGCTGAATAGCACAAGAAAATTAGACCCTGAGTTTCTTGTCTGAAATCTCCCTCTTGCACTTGACAGGAAAAAAAAACCTCCAAGAAGCCAGGAGCAAACCAAAATTTCATAGATAACGAAGGAAAACGGGACTACTCAGAAGATTTAAAATGATGCAGATGTGGGCTTTTAGTCTATTACAAGTCTGAGTTATACCCAATTTCAGTCAGTTTATGATCGAAGAACCTACTTTTCTTTAGCACCCAGATAAAAGCTTCCTACTCTCATTTTAGTCTGCCAGTGGTAAGCTCAGTCAAAAATAATGATCAGGACTATTAATTTTCTAGTTTGCTTTCTGCTGATTTAATTGTCCGGATTGTCTGTATCAACAAGTATTCGTATCAGCTTAACTTGTAATGAACTTGTATTAGCCAAGTCACTGACTGAAAGGAAGCTTAAACTGCTGCTCAGGAACATCAGTTGATACAGTAACAGCAGGCATAATTAAAAACAAATTTTAGTTTCTTCACATAAGTTTTAATACTTGACCTTTTGATAATTTATACAGATCATCAGAGCATAAAGATTAGATGGATTCAAAACATCCTCAGGGGCTGAGCACTGCAGACTACAATGAGGACTTAAAAAATGACACTGGTCTTCCACCCTTCTTCCATTTCAAATGCCCAATATGTCAGAATAAATGCAAAGATACAAAAATGTTTCACACTTGAAGTTAAAAGTTGCTAGAATATTTTTCCTCATATACTTTAAGAGTTAAAAATTATACTTTGCATACACATCCATTCAAATGAAAATTCCACGATGCTGCTCTTCAGCCTAAGGAGCTGCCCAAAAAGAACCTGGCCCATCACAGTTCCCAATTCAAATAACTCAAACCTTAGCAAAATACAAGGGCAAGAACTCATTTTTTATTAACCTATTTTATGGACTCTCATGAAGAAAATGAGTCCTGCCAATGGTTCTTCACTGCAGGAGACTAATATCTCATCAGAGGACACAGCCTTATTTCACTTTTATGTCTGTCCCTCAAGAATACTCCCTTTGATGAAGTAGTTCAAGGGCAAGCATCAGAAAGTCTGTTGTAGCAAGGTACAGCAACTGCATCTAAGCCACATTAGGACTCCATCAGTAAACTACACATGGTAAAATTCATTTAGACAAGCAAAACAAATATTTGCATCACAATGGCTCTAAAGGAGGATAGTACTTTGAACCACTGGTCACTTTCCTTTCAGGTCAACTTGATACAAGCAGAGAGTACTGCTGAAACTAATCCGCAAAGGATGAAATTTATATTTGAAGATTCTGAGGTAGCCAATCTTTTTTTTTTCCAAGTCAGATTAAGTAATGAACCTTTTGAACCTACATAACCTCTTTTAAACATTTACTATGCAACATAAATACCACCACACTTTTTTTTAACTATTACTTCAGCTATAAACAAGTATCTTGGAAAAAGTAGATATGACTCCCACTTGAAAAACTGACAGAGAAACAGATGACCCCCAGCAGATCCAGCGGGTGGTCAGATTCTTACCAGGCACATTTCAAGAGAGGAGTCCAAGGCATGCTCAGCACACCTGAAGATCTAGTTAACGACATTTACTAGTTGTGTCTGTCAAGCAATTAATCACTCTGAAGAAGAATCTCAGACATCAGTCTCCAGCAAAATGCATTCTGCTTTTTTTTTTCCAGGATGCTGTATATGGTTTTGTTTTGAACAACTGTTAACCAGGTTAGTAGCCAGATATGCTACATGCACATTTGTATGCATACTCATGCTGATTCTCTTATCCATTAAAGAGCCTGCAGAAGTAGTAATCAGATTGGGTGTAGGTGGGGTAATAATTTTTTTTTTAACTTATGTACTTAGAATGAAATTCCAGGCTTTTCTTCTGAAGGAATTCTTGACCAGTTACACACGCAGTCCATTTGTTCCATTTAAAATATGGGCTTTAGATTTTACCAGTGCCTGGTCCTTTGCCAGCAACAGACACGCAAACCCACCACTAACAGGGAGTTTAAAATGGTAAAAAGAAGACACACTCGAAATCTCTTTATAGCTTTCATTTAAAATATAAAATAGGTGAAACTTCAAAAGAGGAACATCCCATTCCAACCGAAATTTTAAAATACAGTTTCATGCTAAAAGCAAAAGTCAGATATGAGCCTCATGGAAGCTGCCAAGCAATACAAAAGAAACCTAATCTTTCACATTACTTGTATCCATGCCTTTGCTTTCCTTGCTTATGTGAGTGGTGGCATTTTTACTGGATTGATCTAAATCCTCAGTTTTATTTTCTATTTCCATAGCACTGCTTTCCACAGGACTCTGGGAAGATTCTTCACCTATTTCTGCTTCCATTTTTGTGACTAAATCGTGTTCTTTATCTTCCACATCCATTCCGTCTTCTGTTTGCGCCAGCTTATGTTGAACTTCTTCCTCAGTTTTGTTTTCCAATTCCTCCTCTTTCTTCTTTGCTTTAAACACTTCAACTCCCATCATCCTCAGGTAATGAAGTCTCTCATTCTTGGGCACAAAGGCACGGAGTGACGTCTTTCCTTGCCAACCACACAGCACTATTGGACACTGAAGGTCATCAGGTTTTCTACAAACAAGCAGTTACCTTCAGTCAATTATGAGAAAGTTAATCTTCAAAACTTCATTTTATAGCCATACCCCAACAAATATGTGCACAAGACAAAAAAAAAAAAAATAGCTCAATGCTATTAAATTTCTCAAACAAAATAATTTTCTAGCTCTGGTTTCAGAACTAATACAAGGAACAGCAAGATGAAAGTTTACATTTAAGAAGTTCTCAAGAGTTTTGTCCACAAAAGGTACTTTGTCCACACAAAGAAACAATGAAAAGTAACGTTTTCCATTCCAGTGCTGGACTTCACAGGGAAACAAACAAATAAACCACAAGCAGTGAACTGTGGATGTCTGGCAGAACTATCAGCTCTCCTTTATAAAGCTACATGCTACACTTGTTCTAAGAACACACAGGCAAGACAGCTTCTCTGTCAGTCTCTGTATCCTATCTGGCTTTACTGTTGACCTCATTGGATCCCTATGCCTCTACTTCTGTTTTTGTTGAGTGAGAATAAATTCTTTTGCAATTCTTTAAAGTGCATAAATGGAAAGCAACACATCTACTTACTCAGGGTCTGGGTCATACTTCAGAACTACACTTCCCATTGCTGCAGGGAAGGGGGGTGGGGAAAACAAAACAGAACATGTGTTACTTGGTACCATGTTAAGTGATTGTCATCTGAAAATGTTCAAGAAAACAAGCTTTTAGACAATTACACAGCATGAGATGGTTAGCAGTTATCTACATCAATACACTGAACTATAGACAATACCAGGTTTTACTCCCTTTTTTTCAGACCAAAGTATTTCTATAGTTACAGAAGCAACTGCCAACCCTGTCTCCTCCAAATGCCAAACAAACAAATTAAAATACAAAACCCACATAATGGATTAATTTACTCAGTGAACCTAGCAAGGAACTTCTACTTAATTAAAATGAACATAAGAGTATGCCAGCTCAAACTTTAGAAAAATTTTTCATCCCATTTTGTCTCATCAAACACTGAAGCACAAGGATCAGCAATGAGTTGAAAATAAAACAACATAAATAAAAGGCTGAAAACTCATCTTCATTTCTTCAAGCATCTAGTGAAGAGGAAATAAAAATTTAATACGAGTAGACATTGCTGCCCATATTTAACAAAACAGAATCTGAATAACTATATTTCATACGTAAGATCGTGACATGCAACTGCAGATGACAAACAGTTTCAGCTGGAGTATTAGCAGGCATAAAGATCAGAAGTGTATATAAAATCTTTGTTCATCAGATATTTTAAATGCTGCCTCACGGCACTGCTTCACAGAAGTCCCAAGTCTGGCAACTCTTCCGTTCTCTGAAGAGTTAAAGGCTGCAACCAGAAAGGACTGAAATTTCTAGTAGTGCACTAGGTTTCAGTAATGCTTACTTACCTAACAAGTATATTCAAGATAAATTTAGTCAAAATTTTTAGCAAACACAGTTTACGTCACAGGATTTTCACAGTCCTATGTGTAATGTATAAAAATAATTTTGTCACAAAACAAATTAGAAGGCTTACCCATGTCTTTGACTTTCTTCTGTGTTTCACTGCTAAATTTACTTAAGAATGGATTTTCCTGGGTTAGAAGAATTTTAACATCTTCTATGCAGACATTTATAATCCTCGCATGAATGAATGGGTACAGAGTATAAATTCCCTGTTTAATAAATAAACACAATTATTTCAAAACGCAACCTTTACTTTGTGAAGGAAAAGTGTTAAAAATAGTATGTCCTTTACCTAATATCAGAAAACAATTTCCACATTTTAAACCATACTGAAAATGCAAATTGTCACTAATCTGACAAAGTTAATGTCAGCTGTGTTATAGGCTCTAGAGGAAACCAAAATATCTCCTTTGAAAATACAATGCTACGTAATTACCTCTTGTGCTAATCGGAATGCACATTTAAACTGTTCACCATCACTGTTGCGAGACCAGACTTTTATCCCTGTGTTAATAACCTGCAAACGGCAAAGCCAATAAGCGTCATTAAGGAGCATAAATTCCAAATTACCACTCTGAACTTTGTTTTTCATCAACTGTTTGACTAAAAGGAGGAAGAGGGTATAATTCTGCTGTAATGTTTGTTCATTCGCATTGGACACTGAATTAATGTGAAAATACATCCAAGGGAAAAAGGATCTCCCACTATAGAAATGTAGTGCCCTATCAACATAAAATGCCTTTTACTCCTTTCCATATTGAAAACTGAACAGTGTGAGGAAGTGGCAGTTTTAAAATTAGGGCAATGAACTATTAATATCTAATTTTAATTTTAGTTTGAGTAAGAATTTTCTGTGTGATTTTCGGAAAGTCAAGCAAGGACAATAAAAAATGTACATGGCATTAATATTAGGACACTATATCCTTTGTGGTACTCAAAGTCTCACTACCTGATGCAATGTACCAATTTCTTAAAATTTTGTCAATTATGTAGCCATTTCCTACATGGGGGATAAAAGAATAATTATTTATCCATCTTAACGATCTGTTGTAAAGATGTACTGAATATCCTCAGCAATTTTCAAGATCTGACTGGACCCAGACTGTATCTGATCTAGCTTTGAAGTCAGCTCTCTTTGATGGAAGAAGGAAGCTGGACTAGATGACCTCATTCCAACTTAAATCACTCAATGACTTGAAAGACAAGTCTTTAGCATTTGCAAGACATTTACCATAGGGAATCCTATAAAAACATTTTTTCCCCTCTAATTCAGAAAACCTTATTATTCCATAATCATTCAGCTTAACAACCTTTCAAAATGTTCAGTTGTTGAAAGTACTTTAAAACAGTGTCCTCATATAACGCAGCCAGCCAATAATTCAGCTGAAGGTATCTTATTTTTGGTAGGCTTTCAGAGCTCTTAATAATTTTATAATTAAGGGGCTCATAAATACAACAGCATCAATGTAAACTTGTGAAGTTACCTGAAGACTGCATAAAAATGCAGTACACAATGGTACACACAGAGCAGTTATATATATTCCCTCTCTTTACTTTTAAGTTCCCTTTCATCCACCAAAAATTTACCGATTTTAATCCTGAAGGCTGTTATTTACCTCTCAGAGTCAACTCTTCACCTCTAATAGAGGAGGGATGGAGAGGAAAACACTAATCCAGACAAAAAAAAAAAGCCTGTCAAGAGGGCTGATGCTCTATATAAACAGCAAGCTTGGTGATAAAGTTCAAGGAAATACCCACTAATGCTTATAACCTCCCTTGTGAAAACCTGGAGATGAACCATACCTTCATCTTCTCACTGTTGTTCAGAAGCACATTCCTTAACTCCTTAGAAACCATGTACAGCTGTCTCTTCTTTCCTTCTTGAGTTCGAGTCAGTAAATTCATCTTGGGAAATGATGGGTCCAATGCATAAAACTTCCTGTAGCCATAATGCTTGCTTTGATTAACTGAGCAATGAAATCACATACTCAAAATGCATGGGTTAGCCCACTTCCTCTGGCTATCTCTGCAAACACTTAGCACTTTGGCTCCAGAACACAAAGATTAGACCTTCTAAGCTGTATGACATCAGAAAAGACAAGCTGTCACAGACACTAAGATATACTTGAAAATTTCCAGTGCAAACTCCAGTTGGCTATTTTCATTTAAGAAGTGTTTAAATGTTGAGGAGAGGAGCCCCTGATGTAAAATTAGGCAAAAATCTTTACACATGATCAACCAGACCCATCTTTTGTGATGAACTGAACTACTAATATTCCCAAATTACCAGGAATCTTACTGCCAAACCAGAAACATTTTTTTCTTACTGGATAGGAAGGAACAATGGATCATCTTCAGGGAGAAAGACAAAAGGGTCTTCTTTAAAACCAAACAACTTCATTTTTTTAGATGGTGGTGGTCTAAAAAGAAAATAACATTGCACTGTCAATTTAAGTAAAAGTACTCGGCTTCAAATCAGTATATTCAGTTCATTTATTCAACGCTTGTTTTATGGTAACAACAGTATGCCAAACAGAAAATGGGCATTTTCCATGCTTCACTAGGACAACACTACCCACAATATAACTTCTTAAAATGAGGATGTGAAAGTAGTGCTTTAAAACAGAAACCACAAAAATAAGTAAACAGAGATTTCTGACAGTGATTGTGAAGACAATAAAGATGTTACAAATGTTAATTTCTGAAAGTTTTTTTCCTTAACAGAGAGGAAAGTACTAACAGACTTTGCAAATGTTAATAAGAAAACTGGTTAGTTTCCAAACTTGCTGAAGTACAAGACAGAAAACATGGAAATGCAGGACAACTGAATGAATTCGTTAATTCTTCTTGATCGACTTCTAAATGAGTCCAGTAACAAAAGAACTATAGAATACTCAGCAATTACGAAGCTGTCACAGGACAAATACTTACCCACATACTCCTTCCTTTTTGCTTTGCTCAGTGTCCGAATTCTGCAATCCTTGCATTTTCTTAGACTCTTCATTTTCAGCAAGTATTGGTTCTTCAGTAATACAGTCAGAACCATTGTCTGAATTAGCTGCTGTCACTTCAGTATCTCCTGTTCTTTGTGGTAACTTCTGATGAACCTATTTCAGATTAAATTATTTTCAACAAAGCAAAGTAGAATCTAACTTGTAACAGAAGGCACCTATGTTCTCTCTTTGCATGTGCTTAATTCTTGTCAATTTGTATGCAAGTGCTTAAACAGATCCATTCAGAGAGTTAATCTGATTACTAGATCAAGATACCACTATAAATTGCATTTACCTCTAGTACTGATATAATTTTTAAAAATTAATTACTGATATCAATTTTTTAAATACATACTGATCTGGACAGTTTCGTACCAAGTGTCCAAGAAAGCAATTTTTGTACCATTTACAAAATCACGTTCAAGCACTCAGAGAAGACTACTTTAAGACAGGCTCTGCTGTTTTCCTCCTAGCACTCAAAGTGACACATGCATCCTGCTGCTGCACACCTTCCAGGAGAGTGTTACAATGTTCAACTTAGAACAGAATAAACTACTTAGATGACACTTGCTTCTGAATAAATGCTTCTTCCCTATTGCCACATACATTTTACTCGTAAGCTGTTCTAATTAAGCAAATCAAATGAACAAAAACATCTAAAGGAGCTTATTCACACAAGATGTTTTTCTCATAGATGTGACAATCTAAGAGATCAAATAAATCACGCCAACTTAAAATCCCGTTGACAGGATTTTAAAGACAATTGACAACAAATGGATTAAAGTCAGATGGCTGAAGCTGCTGCTCCTAACAGTTTTACATCCACTCCCCCTGCTGCTGATCTGCTAGACTAATCTGTTAGTGAATCACCCCTGAGCAACCAGCCACACAGTAAGATAAACTGAAATCAGAATTAGCTTACAACACAGCAGAAAAAAGCCTTCAGCAGGGGGACCACACTCACTGAAGGAACTGACAGCTTTAGCTACCCAATATAATCTGCTTCTGTAATTCTTTCAAAGCCTTAATTTTAGGTTCAAGCTTTATCTTACTATTTTACTATAATTTCAAAATCCCCTCTCTTTTTTTTCTATTTTAGAAGTTGTCATTTTTTTAAAGTACTTAAGGGATTTAGGAATTTATTTTTAACTGACACACTGAGCTATAACTAAAAGACAGATACAAAACAGTTATAGTATGTTTTCTATTATGTGTAATATTTTAAAAAAGTCCTGAAACATTATTAATAATTAACATTTTAGATATTTTAGAAAAAGTTACCTTAGGCTGACGTTTATTCCATGGCATGGGAGACTTTTTTATTAACACAGCCACAAAGAAACCGCCTGTGTTCTGGTGATGTGGCAATATCCTAAGACTAGAGAGAAAAGAAAAAAAATGTTGCAGTGTATTCATATCTGCATTCAGGCTCTCACAAAATACTACAAGTGTCACATTTATAATGATTTTCAGGATAGGCTAAGTATTCCTAGTAGGATTGTGCAGATTTAATTTATCAAACTAGAAACAGGATCTAAAGTAGAGCATTCTGGCAAAATTACTTGCATCAGTGCAACACATTCATTTCACAGTTCACATCCGAGCTTTAATGACTCATTTCTAAACAATATTTTTAGAATAGCTACGGAAAGCCTTTCATAGCAAGTAAGTCACACTGTTAAAATGATGAAGTTTTACATACTTTTCCAGTAATTTTGGCTATGCATCTCTATTGGATGCAAAGAATTAGACCTTTTTGTGTGAGTAGTTATTCCTCAGAAGCAACATGCAATAATTTCTCTGAATTCACTGGACTTTATATAGTCTACTGCCATTACATAGGAAGCAATCAAAATATACTCAGACCTATTCAAACAGGTCTATACTGCAATACATTCCTATTCTGACCTAATTATAATTTTCCCACCATCATACATGTTAATCATCGAATCCTCATAAGATCTACTCTGGGAAAACTTACCAACGCTCTAGATTCATTGCCTTTAGCTTCTCTTCATCTTTTACTGGAAACATAGTGGGACGTATTTGTGTTTGCCTATTTGAAGGGACATCTTTCCACTCTTCAAACCACTGTCCATCTTTCAGCATTACCTTCAAAGGAAGAAATATAAATACAGTAAAGAACATAGGTCACCAGTTTGAATTATAATACTTCCAAACCAAGGTTTCGATGCCAAAAAGAGAAATTATTTTCTGGTATAGAAAAGGACTACTGCTGTCTAGTAGAGATTAGAACTGAGGAATCCCAATTTCATTATGTAAGAAAGATGCAAGAGTGCAACGCAACAGCTTGGTAATCATAGAGCCCCATGACACAGGCGTGCATAGGTCATTGATAGAGACGTTTTCAAGGAAAGCTGCTGAAGAATCACGTCTCCCATGAATTTTCTAGTGTCCGTAACTTTACCCAGAACTCAGAATACATCTATAAATCCACTTTTACACTGTGTAGGCCTAACATCACCTCATTCTGGCTAGAAGCCAAAGCTTTTGATGGACTCGAGATACAAACAGAAGGTTAGAGCCACAAATCTTGTAGGAAGGCATTCTGAATGCTCTTTAAGAAAGAAAACAAAAGTGAAAAAATAAGTCAGAGAAAATCTCACTTCAGAGCTCTATATGCCTGGTTTTGTAATGGCTGTAAGAAAGGTCACATCTGGGTACACGTGGGGCAAATGCATAAAGTTAATATCTGAAATGAAGGCCCATTTTTGTCATTAAGGCAACAAAATAAAATAAAGAAGTTGCAGAGATGGTGATTTCAGGACTGGCAAGTACGATGAAGTGGTTTCATACATCCCATTGTGATTGCCTTGAAAGTTTAAGTAAGTTTAAATTAGTGTTCTACTGGAAGCGGAAATGTAATATTTATCTAGATTACCATTTGCCTAAGAACTTTAGAACACAGATTTCAGCATCATGAAGTGTGGCACTTCTCAGCCACTGATCAGATCACACCTGATCATAAAATATTGTGCCTTTGCACATTCCTGAAATAGAAATTACTGCACTTCCAGAATTATTATTTCAAGTCAAAATATGCTACATGTCATAGTCCTAGATGGAGACAAGACAGACTGTACTTCTTTGGAAGTCACAACTGAAGCTTGAGAAAAAACAAACAATGGAACTGATAAATAACTGTAGTCCAAACAAGTCTAGAACTATTTTGGATTTACCAGAATAACTGCCCAATAGCCCTGTGCTGTTCAGTTTTGGTTTATCAGCCTAACTGGTAGACTGGTGTGACTGGTAGAATGAGAAAGCACTGAACTCTACTGCACATTTTACTAGCCACGTGCTAGGGTAGAACAGGGAGTGAAAGTGCTGTAGAAGTAGATTATCAGATCTGGAGTTAAAAAGGTCTCTTCTTTCAAGACTGAAATAATTTACTGGAGTTCACTCATCATCTGGCTTCAGGAGAGAGTACTGATTGCTACTTCTAAGTACCTAAGTGTCCCTTGAACAAAACCTTATCTCTGTGTTGCTGTTTCCAGAGATTTACAGTCAAATGACGCTCAAAAATATCCCATGTAATCAGTCACAGAGCTCCCAAGTGAACAGATGTTTCACCAGGAAATAAAAGAACAACAGCAATAAAAGTAAAAACAGTACCGAAGCAAGAAAATACATTCAATGACAAGCTAGCCAATAAGGCCTGCAAAAAATACAGTAGAAGCAAATAAGGACTGAAGAAAGTCTTGCAAACTTTCAACAGATTTTATTAGCCTAGTTTCTAAAATACCTGTTAGGAGATCTATATTTCAACTGCAGAGAAATAAATGCAACAGGGAATACAATATACTCTTAGTGATCATTATATATATAAATACATATATAAAGTAGCATTACACAGAACCAAAAAAAAAACAAGGTAAAATTAAGATTACAGAGCTACAGTTATGCATTTTACATTTATTCTTCAGGTACAATCACAGTGTAAACTTTTGGAATTGTAAGAAGAAAGAAATCAGCTAGTTTCTCAGCTGGATTTCCAATGGCAGAATATAAGCAAATCTTTATTCCACGTATCTTGTTCATTAGTCTGCACACAGCCATAAACCTGCAGCCTGCCATTGCAAGAGACTAGTGAGATGGTAAGACAGAACAACCAATGGCACTGCAAAGGCACACACTCATAACTAAAATTTAATCAGTTTCTTTCCCTACTACCAGGATGGCCTTCTACTCTTCTTGAGTATACTCTTAACAGGAAGCTGAAGTAGCTTTGGGTTTTTTTGCCCCTTCCTATGAGTCTGTTTCCAGACCTGAAGTCACACAAGACATGGAACAAAACACGGGATTCTAGGATTAGTCACATCACTGTAGGTTTTACAGATAATTTCCAAAAAGGGTTTCACAGGTTTTACTTCCAAATGATTCAAATGGACCAGCTGAAGAACTGCAGAATCTAACATTCACAGAGACTAAAGACTGAGGAGGATGCATAACTTTAAAAGCGGCTGAAATTATATTGCCATCTACAGGCCACATGCACACAACAGGAAAGGGAATTATACCACTAAAGTATAGGAGAGAGACCAAAGAAAGGTAGAGGTAAGAGAATAGCAGACGAAGAGACAAGAACTTACCATCAGAAAGACGTTTAGCTCTCCCCCCTAAACATCAAATCACTGGCATTAATCCAGCTCAATCTAACATTGTAAAATGTTACACTTCAAAACTTCCCTAATTTAGCACTCTACCACAGACCAAGAACTTCAAAAAACTATCAGTTTAAGTACCTTCCATTTTGTAATTCCTGGCATCCTCTTCAAGCCTGGTAACTCAGAAGAGACATCAGCAAGTTCTAAGGCACCTGAAATCCCAAGAATATAAATGGTCTTGAAAACAGAATTGAAGAGTTGTGTTGCTAATTAACTTTTATAAAAATAGTTTTCCTTCAAGTTTTAAGACCATTTTAAGAACACTGCTTTTTAAAACTTTCAAGAAACAAAATGATATACAGCTACCACCATGTAAATCAACAAAGATGGTAAGAACTGTTAATAATAACTACAGAAGTTTGCAACTTATAAATTAACTAAAACATAATGGTTCAATATTTTTTGTAGCAGCTGCGTAGAGGAGTGCTCTATGACTTCTATCATTAAATAACAGTTTTCTAGGCAAAGCGATCATTTCAGTTTTTATTCTCATTTACTTATTATTTCAATTTACCATACTGTTTAAGTATTTTTCAGGGAATAACTCTTGGGATAACAAAGCCTACTAAAAGGCCTGCTATATTCTCATTTTATGGACTTAACATCTCAATATATTCCAGTGTGAGGAGAATTTATTATTTTTTAAATTGAAAGAAAAATTCCAAAAACTGTTTAACAGTAAGGTAAGTACTATCAAACTAACAGGACAAAAGACTGTGTGTCTAAAATATGTCAAATTACTACAAGAAATATTAGAGTATAACTTAATCTACTGAATTAAAGCTTTAAACTGCCCCAAGTCCAGAAAGAGTGATATAAAAATTCACTGTTTAAAAAGGTGATCTCTCCAGAGATGAATAACTTTAACATTTCTTTTTTGTGATTCTGAATACTTAAGTTCTTAACAATCAGGTACGCTTTTTCCTCATGTCGAACACAATTTATCGACCACTTCTACATGACTAACCATTGACTCTTACAGTGACATTTAAGCAAGTCTTTTAAATAAATGAAAAAGTGATATGTGAATTCATACACAAATTCAAAGATGACATTTCAAATGTGATTAAGCTTGATATTTGCATCCGTCCTTTGAATAGTCCTGTCCCTCTACAGCATGACTTCAGCTGATGCCTCAAGACTACATCAGATTGATAGGCACCAAAGAGTCCATCAGAAGTAGCACAATTTCCATTAGTTTCTAAATGGTACCAAAGTGCCCTCTCCTTACTTCTTCAGCCCTAAGGGGAAAGCAATCTCATCTGCTCTACAGGTAGCAGTTAACACTGCGTTAAAAAGTACCAACAATCTTCTGGACTGACCTGAGTGAACTCTTGAGGTCCAGTGCTCCTTGCAGACCACTGCACTACCTCACCCTTCTTTAGCTACACCGATGTTCAAGTTCCAAGGGTAACATTCACTTGCTGGGACACATCATAGCCTCCAGGTACACTTCAAAATACCTCCACTGGGCCAAGACTAGATCTTAATGGAACAGCCAGTCAAGATCCTTCCTTCCAAGTACTGAATTTGCCTCAGATACTGCAATTGCTGGCCTCTGTTAACATCCATACTGTTTCGTGCCCCTATCCAAACTAGTCATTAAATTTAGCACTGGCTTACTACAACCTTCGATAAGTCTAGCCTAATGTAATATACTGGAAACATATCTGTGCCTACCAAACAAACTACCTCTAAATAAAAATGTTATTTGAGTGGAAATTAAACAGTCAGTTCCTAATTAATCTGCAAGCACTTTAGCTAAACTGCTGTTTCTGAGACAATGAAATTCCATGCACAATTTGAGGTCAGAATACTGACTGGTACAAGGAAAACATTACACAAAACAGCTTACCAACTTCCAGAATAAGCTCAGGTCTAGGAGCAATACAGCTGCTTCTGCTCTGTAAAAGGCTCAATTTAACACAAAGTTGGTGGAAATTTTCATGCCAAACTTCATTAGATATCTCCAAATTTCAGGTTACTGATTCAGAAAAAACAGGATCCACCAGCTACTAACTGGGCTACTAAACCCTACTATCGCAAAGTGATGCAGTGTAGCTTCTCAGTCAATCTCAATTTTTCCACCTCTTGTTACCTCAGCCATCATATGCAAGTCAAAAATGTAAAAACCCCATGAGTTTAAAGACATTAAAATTTCAATCATGTCAACATGTGGGTCAAAGGATGCTAAAGGTAACAGTGACTCTCACCTACTGGTGCACAATAACCATCTGCTAACTGCTTAACTACATTCTGGGCTTTTTACTCCAATAGTGTTCAGCAGCAATGTTCCACGCTGGGTTTTCCAAAGGAATTAGGAATGTCAGACATGGACTCCAACCAGTGGAATCAATTAGCAGAAGCCAGGTAACAGAGACTGAATTCCATTGATTCACACAACTCTTCAGGTTTTATATTTGCAGCCAATTTAGGCCCACTTAAGAAGACTGCTCGTAGCAACATTAATGAAATCCTACTGCTACCAAAAAATTTCTGTAGGTTTGCAAACTAGAAGCGTATTACCCACACTAAGCTTATCCTAGTACCATAAAACACATATCTTTTTTTGGGCTGAGGGGAAAACAAAAAGCTCTGTCCAAACTCACATTCTCACCTTGACTTTTTTCCAGCAGAGATGCGATCACAGCTTCATTTTCGATAGGATTCAATGAACACGTAGAATACACCATTCTCCCACCTTCCGCCAGCTGTTCAACACCACGGGTTGCAATTCTCAGCTGCAATCTAACAGAACACTCTTGGTCTAGCCAGCTGTCATTCAGGAACCCGAAAGAAGCTATACTGCAGACATACAACTCTCCATGGACTAAGCCAGTACTTAGGGAGCTCCACAGCTGTCATCAGTACACAAATTAAAGTCAGTTTCTAACTATATCAGTTTAGCGCAGTCTATACTGCAGACATACTCGCAATTACACCTATTAAATTAGAACAGCAATTAGGTCAAACATAAACAATGATCCAGGGTAGCTTTTAACATAACGTTCTGTATTTTGTTCTTTCCAGTGCCCCATCAAGTTTATTATAAAGTACTCAACACTAGAAAAATAACACCTCAAAACATGACTCTTCTCAGAAATCCAGAGTTAAAATGAGCAGAAATCTGACAAATGTTATGAGCAACACAGCTTAGGTAGCAATGGCCTTCTGAGAAAGGTATCATTGAGCTGGATGACAGCTTAGACCCCTACCTCCACACTTACAACTAAAAGAAAATCTACAACTATGAATGAGTTACCAAGCAGTCATAGGTCAGCTGAGTCACAGTAATCAATGGTACCCCCAGTTTCTTAAAAATACACAGTGAAACATTCTAAGCTTTCTCATCTGTGTTTCAATCTGCCTTTTATCATGTGCCTGCACTAGCCTAAGTACTCATTCACCATCAGTTAACATAAATCAATTTCAGTTAACTGAAATCGTTTATGTATGATCTCTATTATCCTAAAGACTTTAAAATATTACTAGCAAATTTTACAAATTACTGTATTTTCCAAGAGTATTTGGAATGCTAAGAATCCCAACCAAATGATTTCTTCTGTTTTATTAGCTACCTTGTCTAAATCAATTCAATGAACATTAATATGTCAGATATTCATAAGAATACAAGCAATTTGGATTCACATGCTCCACTCACATCCGAAACCCTACACTTCCTCTGAATAGCACATAAGCTCTTGATTTGAGAGAAAAGTGACTCTTCTTTGTCTCTGCTTTGTCATATATTAACATGTGAATGCATGCAGATGTTGAAGATATGGGAAAAGGAAGAGAGAGAAATGAAAGAAGTGCAGATGTGTAATAAGCATTTTTACCCATGGAGTTGCAAACTGTTTTGTGTTGTCCACTTCTTCCATACATCAATGTTTTTCCTCATGGTTCCATCTCCGCTGCAACAGAGGTTGAGTAGATTTGTATTATTTGTGTGTAAAACTCTTTTCATATCCAAGTCATTTATAGTAGAATAATTTTTACAGTCCTCTCACGTTAACCAGTTTTCTAACACTGTATTCTTTGTTTCCTCACTGTCTTCATATTTCAGAATCATGAGTGTAAGTTCAAAATTTGAAGCCCTTTAACTGACCAAATTTAAGGACCATTTGGAATGAAAAAAGTTCACCTTGATTCAGTATCCCCACATCTAAGACAAATTAAGGCATTCACTTGTTTTGGAAGTTACTATAAATCATAACTCACTAAGCAACTCAAAAAGCATGATTTGGTAACAAAAAAAACTTAGCACTGCACTTATTGCAGTAACATCCATGTATTCAAGTTTACATGCCAGATACCTGCAGGGGACGTCACATAAAATCCTGTCATAGAAGAGGATCTCTTTTCTTCCATCAACATCTATTTGTAGGTTAGGAATGCTGGAGGCATCATGATTTACCACCATAATGCACGGACTGTTTAATCTCTTAGCCTGATGAACCAGCAAATAGCAGCGCTTGTTGTCGACATCATTAGCAATTACAAAACCCTCTGGGAACATAAAACAGTGGGAAGATGCTTTACTATTCAACATCTAACTAATTTTACATAGTTTATTGCCTTATGTTCAAAGTTGTATAAACCTTTCACTGGAGATTTTTACTTAAAAGGCTGCTCATGAATAGAGGAGTCCTTACTGAGCATAAAATAACTTAAAGGTATGTTGAAGTTTAACCGACGTGCCATAGTCTCAAGAGTTCTAGCTTCCATCTAGCGGCAGTAAGACACAGCCAAGGGCTCTTCAACTTTTCAAAGTAAAACCCCTGTAACAGAGAATACCCCCACTATCACCAATCTCTATATCCGCAAAGTTTCAGTAGAATGCAGAAAGAATCCACACACTCCCACAATTTTACACTTCAGTGGACAGTATTTTCTGTGAGCATCTAATCAAGAGTAAAGATTCTGAAACTTACAAAGAAGATAAATATCACAACTACTTTAAGTCTAAAACAGCTTAATCCAGTGTTTGCAGGATATCGCTAAACCACAGGGGCTCATGGGCCATCATCTACTAGGTAAATCTCATATAGAAGAATTAAGCTCTAATCACAGATGCTGTAGTCTGAACTGCAAAGATACATATACATATATATACACATATATAATTCATCTTTCTCCTTCGCGCCAAGGAAGCCCATGAAGTTTCAAAGCAAAGGTGGGAAACCTTTATTTTCTACAAGAAAAAGCAGAAATTCCAAGTCACAAAAGTTTTTAGTAGTTTTCCAGACTTACTGGGAAAAGGAACATTCATGTCTGCATGCAACATTTCAATGAGTTGTGCCGTCTTAGATCCAGGTGCAGCACACATATCTAGAATCTACAAACACCAGAAAGTTAAAAAAAGTCCTGTTTTGTATTTTTCAAGTACTCGAGAAATTTACTATGCGTTCTTGTTTAAACTAAGTATTTTTGCACTTAGAGAATTAATTGTTCTGAACACCAATTTGAAAAAAAACTAAGTACAGTCCTGATCTTTGTATGCTTTACCTTTGAGAGTCTAAAATATAAAAAGGACTTTACATTGTAGGGAACAAATACATCAGATGAAATAGAATTTGAAAGAGGAACCTGAACACAGATATAGGGATATGGTCCTTTTACCGGCAATTCCAAACGAAGTTAACTGGCACTTTACATATACACACACATATTAAGAGCAAAGTTACAATCAAGAGCAAGGAGTACTCTTCTTTAAACTATTAGTAAATCAATCAGAGATAGCTGATTATATAGATTTTATAAAAATGAGTTGCTATACCTCCCCACACATTTGCATTTTAATGCAAAAAATCAGGGCAGCATAAATCTCTTGTTTCTCTATTGAAGAAGCACTTGGGAAGTTTTTGAACTGCCCCGAGGCAGCTGAACAGAACAGCACCAACATCAACAGACAAGAACACCTAAATTATAGTGTGCTTCTCCTTCCTGGTTCATCAGGAACTTGGCTTGTGATCAAGTCATTTGTAGTCACTTTCACAGCAAATCAATTGATATCTAATACTGTTCTCTTAAGTAAGGAAGCTTAGAGTCTTTCCTCTTGGCTAGTTACAGATTTTCAGAAACACATGCCTATCTCCCAGATCTTTGGTTCCGTTAAAAATTAGATGAAATCGTGCAACAGGATAAAGGATGGGAAGGGATCTGCTCAGATCCTCATGCAAGACTCTGGCATGAACAAGACAACTAGAAGACAGCCCCCAGAGAAAAGCAAAGAGAGCTTCAGAGAGCACATGGTAAAGTGCTAACGCATCACGAAACGCACTCAGTACAACACCATACGTTCTCTTTAAAGTAACAGTTGTGATGCTATTGTTTTCTAGTTTTGCAGGTAATATGAAAAGATAATGAAGAATATACAAGGCTAAACGTGCTCTAAAACTTGCTACCAAAATGATGGTGAGGAAAACTAAATTGTGAAAAATAGATTTAAAATGAACACAGATATGGAGAGACTTGACAGTCACTAAGTTGATCCTTGTACAACATGGAATCAGCACGTAAGACATGATGTACAGAACATGCTGGTTAAGCATGAAAAGTAACCTGCAGTTCTGGTCATAACAAGCAGCTCAGAAGCTAAGACACTAAGGACCAGAAAAAGTCCTAAATGACAAGAGTTGCTGCCATTGTTACAGCAGTTATTTGCTGTCTTGGCTCAAGACAGGATAAAGAATCTATTCTAAGCCTGATTTATGAGCAAATCTGTGAAATCTTACACTCATTTCTGGAAAATGCCTGCTGAAATACAGTCACCCAAGTTAAACATTCAATGTAAAACCCGTATACTGCTAGCTTAGTATATACAATGTGTGTGCAAAAATACTCCCACAGTTTGTGTTTTACATTAAGTTGAACATGTTCAATACCTGTTCAACTCCAGACAAAACTGAAAATGCACCTGTGACCCATCAGGACTGAGTCTTTCAATTCATTATTCACTTAAGAGAGATGAGAAGACTTTGACTCACGTAAGTTCTGTGACATACATTGGGTTGGGGTGAAAGCAGGAGAAGATAACGTGAAACATTATGTATGCTAGGTAACATTAATATAAAAACAAGTAGTTACAAACTAGGCTCTAAAACATGTCAGAAGTTTGAAAAACTTAAAATTTTTAGATACGTCATGAAAATTTAAGAAAGAACACAACATGACTGCTTAAGGTAACAAGGCAACTAGCTTACTAATTTAAGAGATCAAGAGAATAAGGCCACCTGACAGATTTAGTCTGCAAGCAAGCATAAAGTATGAAAACATCACAGAAGTTAGAATAGAAAGTTTGCTACCAGACATCCCCATTCCTACTGCAGTCTGCTATTGGAAAATATCATGGGCATTCCTTAGACACCTCCGTTAAAGATAGCACCCTATAGTGTTTAGCCATCACCAGTACTATGTTTCAATTCACCCAAATTATTTTGCCTAACACATTTATAGAGCAGAAATTTGCAACTTCTTCAAAAGGCATAGAGGAGTGAAATCTATCTGGTAGAGAACATTATCATTTGAATCTGAAAAACTACATCTGGTTCACAGTGTGATGGAGAGCAGGAAGTTAAAAACAGTCATCTTACTTTAAAAGCACATTGAAACATGAATAGTAACTCAAATGCAGCTGAACACATTTACACTTTGAAAATAAGACTATGCAACTACTTAAAACCGAAGTGTTTCTCACAGGGTAGTACATACAGCTGAAAAAGCAGATGTTCCTCTGTGTTTGTGATATGAACACTAGTTGAGTGTTGCTGTTGATGTGCAGAAAGCATAAAACACACCAACACAAAACAGAACTGTGTATCAGCATTGATACTGCTGTTGTGATGTGTAGTTTAATCAAACTAACTTCAGGGAAAAAGCTTTAGTACATATTATATTCTAGAGTTACCTTATGATGAGGGCTAACGTTAAGCAGCAGAGGTGGGATCATACTAACAGCCTCCTGACGACTGATATTTCCCTTGAAAGGAAAAAAAAAAAAATTAATTTGTTTTTATTCACAAAACAATGCATATCTTTTGCAATAAAATTTTTAAATCACTATGCAGTAAAATAAGAAAGCAGTCAGAAACACACTACTATAAATGTAGGTTTAAATTTTGATAGAATTTAACAAAAAAAGCAATCACAGCATTCACACAAGTGTATTTTCTGATAATTGCATATTTACTCCAATTGTATTAATTCTACAGATGTAGTTTCTGCTCAAAAGAGAAACTGGCTTCAACCAAGTGACAAACTCCCACTGCTTAAGCTAAGTCTTGTCATGCACTTTTTACCAGATTTAAACATCTGGTTTCTAACAGCAACTAATTATTTTACAGGGACTCGTTTTAGCATCGCCAAACGACCACAAAAAACTGCAATTAGTTTAGGAAAAGTATGTGTAGCTGCGGTTATGCACCAGAGCTGTGGGATGAATCACAGTCAACAGCAATGTAAAATCCAGATTCTTCTGAGTTACTCAATTTTTGAGAGAAAAGGTAAAGTCTCACTCTCTCATAATGTATTTCAATAAAGCACTGCTCAGGACATGAAAGAAAAAAATCAAGATCTATTTGAAACTTACACACTCTGTCTCGCTAACCAGAAATTGATGAAATTTTTCCAGTTGTGGGGACTTGCGTAAGATTTTTCTACTCAAGTTAGTGTGCCAGGCTAACTCTTCTGGATACCTGGTGGAAAAGAGACGGGAAAAGGGCAGAAGCAGAAGAAAGAGAGCAACACACCAGGCTGGATGTCAGGAAGGGTGCCTTAACTCGCCTCCAGACCACTCACCAGCTCAGCGACTGTGGCATCTCGACTTTTTGACCATCCACCTCCAGGTTCTGCAGCTCCCTGAAGTATTTTTCCTTCAAGCAGTGGAGAATCTCTTTGGCATGGCTGCATGCGACAGACGTGCAGAGGGACACCGGATGGAGAACCACAGAACCACGGGATGGTTTAAATTGGAAGGGACCCTAAGGATCACCTAGTCCCAGCCCCCCTGCGGCGGGCAGGGACGCGTCCCAGTGGAGCAGCTGGCTCAGGCACCCCTTCTCCCGGACAGCATCCCGCCCCAAGGTGCCCGGGGCAGGTCCCCAGGGCAGCAGTCCCACCCCTACCTGCGGTAGCCCGTGATGCGCAGCGTGGCGGGCAGCGGCTCCCGCAGCGCCGCCATGAACGCGTCCCACTCGCCGGCGGGCACGATGCCCAGCTCCTGGTAGTACCGCTCGAACAGCTCGTTCTCCTTCACGATCTCGGGGTAGCCGCCGGGCCAGCCCTGAAGGAACACGCCGCCGTCGTTAGCCCGCCGGTCCCCCCGCTCCCCGTTCGCCGCTCTTCGCCCCGCCCCGGCCCGGCTCTCACCGCCTGGTCCCCGGCGCCGCCGCCGCCCCGCTCCTGCCGCTGCTGCTGCTGCTGCCGCCGGCGGTCCCGCGCCCGCCGGCCCATGGCAGCCAGGCGGCGGCCGAGCCGCGACACTAGCCCCGCCGTGGGGAAGGAAGCGAGGCCACGGCCACGGCCACTCCCGCTCCGCTCCCGTTGGGCCGGAGGGACCGCGCAGCTGCCGCGCGCCGCGTGCTCCCGCCACCAGGGCGCACGCGCGGACACACCCACTCCTTCCCGGAGCCTCTTCCCGGCGGAACTTCCCGAGAACCCGAGCGCGCGCCCCTCCTCGCCCCGCCCACCAACGGGCGGGCGGCTCTGGTTACGCCCCCCGGCGCCGATTGGTCCGTGGTGCCCGGTGGGCGGGGCGCCGGGAGGGTGATGAGTAGGGGCGGCGGGGGGCGATGGGGCTCGGTCTCGGTGGAGTTGGTGATGGCGGCGTGCGCGGGCTGCGATGGTGTTTGCGGGTTCTGGAAAAGGGTGGAGGGCCCCGAGGAGCGGCGGCTGCTGGAGCTCTTCTCCTACGGGCTGATAGTGCTGGGCGCCGGCTCCGCCCTGCTGCTCTGCTTCATCCCTATGCCCTACGGCCGGTACTCCACGCGGCGCTTCGGCTGGCTGCTGCCCGCCCGCGCTGCCTGGGCGCTGCAGGAGCTGCCCTCCCTCCTCGTCCCGATCGGGCTCGCCGCCTGCGGTGGGGAGGCCATCGCCGCCCTGGCTAACCGTGCCCTGCTGGGCTGCTTCGTCCTGCACTACGCGCACAGGTGCGGGCGGGGCGGGGGCACCGCCGGGGCGTCTGGCGGGAGCTCCTTGGCAGTGCTGCCGGGGCGGGAGAAGGGGTCAATCTTCATAGAAACGCCTGGCTGCTGCTTCCAGACCGCAGGGGTTGAGGTGCTCCACTTAATTAGCTCTTGTTATTTAATATCACAGTCACTGAAGTCCTTCGGGCTTCGCTGCGTTAGGATGTTGTGCGTTGTTGCGGCAGCTGGGCGCGGAGCCGTGGCGGAGCGGTGCCGGCTGCCGTGTGTCGCTGCGCTGTACGGGGCGGTGCTCAGGCGTGCAGACGCGATCTTCGATGCTCCCTCGGCTGGTGCTCCATCCCTGCGCTGCAGCTGTACCTCGGGTGGCGACCCTCGTGTCAGCAAGGGCTTGGTCAGGCTGCTTGAAGGGTCCTAGTGTTGAAAATAAGGGAAGTTCAGCACTCTGTACTCATATGATTTTAATGTTGTGAAACAGTGGCTATTTTTAGTTATGTTTCTTAACACGGTCTTTCAACATAGTGTCCGTTGAATGAGTTGGACTGGATGAGGGTTTTCTCTAGCTCAGGATATTCAATGATTCATTAAAATACTAGCAAATCTGAGGCCGAGTGCTCCATGTTGCCCTGTAGTCAACTTGGATATTTAGTAAAAGTTCTTGGAGAAGGCAGCTTAGCTGCAGCTCAGATAAGATTTTGCTGTTCTCTTTAAGTTATGGATGGTATCTACTGGTCATACTCCATGAGCAATTTTGCAACATTACTAATACAGGAGCAATAGATTTGTCAGGTCATGTTAAGCTCCATGTGTGGCTGATACACTGTTGTTTTCCGGTGAATGAGAGAGGCTGGTGCTTTTGACTGAAAGTATTCCACATCCTCACAACAGAGAAGGACGCAATGTGATTGGCCTGGTGGCTGGTTTTGAAAACCCAGGACTGTGTCTTTGCTCCTTTTTCTGTTAAGAGTAAAGATAATAGCTTTCGCATGGGATCTTAACTCATCCTTGATGTCTGGAAATAGCTAGGAAAGTGAGACAAAGGTTTGTAGAGCAAGCTGCGCTGTGCTGCAGTTTGTTTTTTCCAGTTGCTTGTTGCGATTGCCAGACTAAGTGACTCTTCTGTAAGTGAGCATAGACTGGAAGAGACCTCTATTATCCAGTTCCTTTTGTTGTAATGTAGCATGCTTTAAATAATCCTGTTAATGAACTTGTTACTCTTTCTTGAAAGCTGTTATGGTTGTGCTTCCTTTGGAAAGACTACTTTGAAGCACTAGTCCTTGAGTAGATGGAAAACACGTGAAAAATGCTCAGGCTTCAGTACTCCTTGTCCTATTTCACTACAGATTGTAATTAAATCAATAGGCAATTGGGAGTTGGCTAGTTGCACCAGAAGGATCACAAGAACATTCACATTCACCTGATCTTGTTTAGAGCTTGTTGGTTCATTCCCATAATCCCCCAGGAAAAGCAATCAAGATTCCTTTCCCAAATAGGATGGCAATTGTGGGTTCGTCACGTGTTTAGCAGGTATCATAGGGTAGACCAAAATTGTAGAGGTGAAGCATTAGGGTTTTAAAGTGACTTTTAAGGTAGGGAGGAAACTGAGCTCAATTAGGTTAATTTTAAGGGCATTGCCTTTCCCCTCTAGAAGTGCTGGGGCATTTGGTGTAGGGATTGTGAGACTTGGCTCATTTCAGAAAGTTTGATGATACTACTGAGGATTTAGGAACAAAGGAGGATAAAAATAGGCTGTGCTTAACATCAGTTACCTTTACTCCTCTCATCAAAGTAATTGCCTTGGATACAAAGTTCAAAATTTCTGACATACAGAGAGAGAGGTCTGATCTTGTAATTCCAATTAGGCAACAAAATGAATGTTTAGGTATTAAAGCAAGTGCAACTGACCTTTAGAACAGGGACCAAAGCCTCTAATGCTGAGAATTTGAAAAGTAGGATAGCATGGACTACGGATTATAGTTTTTGGACTTCAAAACTCTGTCTTTGGTTTGTTAATACAATAAATTTTTGTTCCTTATTTGCTATAGGGCACTCATATTTCCTCTTCTGATCCGTGAAGGAAAACCAACACCATTTGTCACTTTTGTGTTAGCACTTCTGTTCTGCGTTTTCAATGGATACTTGCAGGGCCGAAGCTTAAGCAACTATGCAACTTACCCTCCAGGCTGGTTGCAAGATCCATGCTTCATTACAGGTGAGTCAAATAATGTTATGAAAACTTAAGGTGTAATTTTCCTTTGTCTTCACAGCTTTTAATTCTAATTTTATTGTATCTTCAATGCCGTTTTGTAAGTATTCTCATAGGTATTTCTCTTGTTGGTGTATCTGGATGCCTTTAATTTTTTTTTACTTTAGAACTGTGAACTGACATTTCTTTCCACAATACCAATGCTAGGTGAGCTGACTGTCATCTTTACTCCGTATCACCAAAATAAATATTGTCATGTATTTTTTTCAATGTAGAAACTTGAAGCCTCACATGGAACCAGCAGCATGCATGTTTAGAACAAAGTAGGTTTTCTGTGTAACGTAGATCAAACTGAAGTAAACAAACTCAAGGAGTAAAAATCTAGCGAGGGTAATTGCTAAGTACTGAGATACCACTGCTAATGCCAGAAGACCTTGGTGTCAGGATTACGCACATGCGTGCACACACACGCGCACACCCACACGCATCAGCACAGCTGCCCTTGTAATAGCGGTGAGCATTGTCAAAGGACAAAACTGGCCTACAAGGAACTGGGTGGAGGGATTGATGATTCACTCTCGATCAGGAAGGGAGGTTACATTTATTTATAGTTGAAGTCATGGATATGATGAAAAGGCTAAGATGCTTAATGACAAAGTACGATCACCCTATTTTTTTGTTTCCTAAGCATCTTACTTTTGTTGACCATCAAAATCATAGTATCATTTTCTAATGAAATTTTTACCGGAAGATCTTTCATCTGAAGATAAATCAGAATATTTTGCCTCATCAGTCAAAGGTGGAGAACTGGGCTGTGTAGATCCTTGATCTGAAGAAGTACCCTTATTGTTTTTATTCTGTAGCCAGAGCAAGTTAGTGTTTCTCCAGGATTTCTCAAGCCTTTCATAACAAGAAAAAGAAGGTTTTGTCCTTATTACAGTGTTATTGTGGATAACAGTGGAGGACCACTGTGCTAAATGCTATCATGACTATAAGATTGAAGAAACTTAAATCAAAGGAGGTTCTCTTGCCAAGATTAGGAGGCAGTACTGCTTGTACACTAAAAATGGAGAAATTGAGGTACAAGGGAATGACTTCAGTGGATGCTAGGCACTTGGATATACTTGAAATTCTCTTGGTAGTTTCAAATTTCCAGTCTCCTTAAACTGGGATCCAGCAAAAAAAATGGTTAAAAGATCTGTTCATCAAAACTGTTGAAGGCTCTGATGCCTAATTTGGTACATTAATCAAAAGGTATCTCAATACAGTGCTGTGAACAAATTGTGATTAAGAAGCCATAAATCAATTCTTCTTTACTGAAAAGAAATCAAGTTTCCTTGGTTTATTTTTTTTGAGTTTATCAAGGATTTCTGAAAGATGCAAATGTATAAATTATAATAGTTAAGTTCCTCTGACTTCAGTTATGAATACTTCTGTGTATGAGTTAGTTTGATTTGTATTTGTTGGTTTTTTATTATGGTTTTATTTTAATTGTTTGCTTTTTGTGCAAGTAATACCAGTCTGGAATATATGCTTATATATATTTCGAGTACTGCTAAACATAAATGAAGTGTTGCTTTTGTGGTTATTATAATTCAAACTATTGCTTTAAAAAGCAATCCTATCCCTAAGTTATCTTAAAAACTAAGAAAGCCAAGATTCCTGGTACACATAGCAACCATTTGCGTGGTATGACTACTGCTGACTTTTTTGAGACTGTTAGTACAAAAAATCTTTATATAAAATTTGGCACGGCTGTGAAACAGCCAAACTGAAGACTTGTTTTTTATTTTATTTTATTCCTGTAACTAGAGTATCTTTTGGGATTTTTTTTAATGTTGCTTTGTAGTACACATCAACATAATTGGATCTTAGCAATTTATAATTGCTATTTGGTATTCATCTCAGCTGGGTACCTCCAAATATCTGCAGTTTATGCTTGTGGCTTTGGTCAACTCAAATGCCAAAGTGGCTGTGCACCCTGAACAACTGGACTGTTATGTTCTAGTTTTTCAAAAACATCTGGCAGTGTCTTTAAGTAAGTTTAAAATTACTAGAAAAAGTTACTAGAATATTAGCAAACAACAACAGCAAGAAAGCATATTTGCTGAGGGCTACCAAGATATTTCTTAAGCTGTATGGAGTTACATGTGGAAGATAAATGAGAGAGTGTCTAAAAGTAGCAGCCAATCATGGTTCAACAGCCAGAAGCTGAAATGAGATAAATTTGCAGTGAACTCAGAAATTTGGAGAAGTCAGGCTGATTAACTGTCATGGTGAGAGGTTTCAAACAATTCTGTGTTCTGTCTGGAGCCTTATTACAGTTTGACTGTTTTCAGGCATTTAGAAGTTAACTCTGGAAATGCAATAGCTTATATCTACACCAGCAATTGATTTGGATCAGGAATATAACTTTGATGTGATTCCCTCGTGGTTTCTCTGGACTGTGTGTTGGTTTGGTTCAGAACAGTGAACACGGCTGTTTTCAGAGGAAATGGGAATGTTCTGCTTCAAATGCAGCACCATGGGTTTGCAAACCTATGTGGGAACAACTTCATAATCTTTCAGCATGTACTTTACACATGTGCCAACAAACAGCTTGTGAACTTACCAAGAGAGCCCACGATACCCTGAAGCAGTGAATGTTGCAAAAAGGGACACGTACACCTGTGTGCTTCACCCTGGTGTTCTTTCCTAATCTCTCTGTGCTTCTAGTTGGAAACTCCTTCCTTCCTTTGCTTGCTTTAGCTTCTTCAAACTCTTTGCAATATGCCATGTGTCTTTTCTTACTCCTTTAAACCCCATTCAACTACTGTGGTAGTTTGGCCTAGGCCTTCCTTGGTGACCAGCTTGTAACCAAGGAAGTGCCCAGATTTACGCGGTATTCCCTACGATTTTTACATAAGCTGGGGTATAAGAAGAAAGGAGGAGACGCCTTCGGTCTCTTTCCTTCGGGCGGCTTTGGAGGTGCAGATCTCCCTGTTGTTGAGTCTGTCGGTTTGGAGAGCGAGGCCTGGTAAGGCCTTGTTGACCTTGGGAGGCAAAGGCTGCCGGCAGTCACCCCAGCGTGACTCTCCATTGTCCCAAGGAGAGTAGTAAGATATTTTTTGCTAATTCTTTTAGTTGATAGACCTTGGGCTACTGATCGGGATATGTATATATATACATGTATATATATTTATATATATATAATTTTGGTTTTTGTTCTTCCCTTCCCCTTTCCCTTTTTTCCCTGTGAAATTGTATATATATATCTCAACTGTACATAACTGTAATATAAGTGTAAATCTATTTATATATACTGCTTTGTCTCTCTCTCGTTTTCGGTTCTTTTGGTTTTTTTTTTTTCCCCTCTTCTCCCTTGGTTTGGGGTGGGGGGAACTTCTTGTGGTAAGGTTTGGAGACTTGGCAGGGAGCCAGCTCCAAACCATAACAACTACCTACTTTGAATGTTGATGGCTAACCCTTCTGTGCATCAAAAACTTTCCTCAGTAGCAGTTCTACAAAGCAGAGCAGCACCTGTAACTCAGAAGGTGCAGGTGACTGAACCTCGTCTGTTGCATGAAGCTTTTTGTCTGGCAGTCAGGCAACCAAGCACATGTGCCACCTCTGCTCTTTTCACTCAACAGACATGAAGAATGCATGCGCATTGTCCATATCTGGATATGATCACGTAGTTGAGGGATGTCTAGATATTATCTCATAGCCCAGGGATGTAGATTAGCCTGTATCTCTGCTAGTATCTACAGACATCTGTATATTCTAGATGATCATGTGCGTTGTTAGAAAGTAACCACAGTCTGAGATGAGGCACTGGTTCACCTGAAATGTTTATTTGACATTCTCAGTGCAGCTGTAGAAACTGGCCTCCTGATGTGTCTGCACAGCATCTTCCACTGCATATTCTTGAAACCTGGAGAGGGAAGGTGAGCCAGATAGCAGTTACCCTCCTGTCACTCTGTAATAGCCTACAGAACAACAGTAGGTCTTTTTGTGTGAAATTCTACATGGGCAAGGGTAGAGAGGGCACTGGTGCAACAACGCACACAATGCTCTTTTGTTGCACCAGGTTGTCTGCTAGTGTAGACCTAGTTACTGTCCTCCTTACGCAAGTGTTCACCTAGTATATGCACAAGCCTTCATCTCCAGGTTTATCCTGATGAAGGAAAAAGCCTCTTAGTAGTCCTGTGAGGTCATCCATGTTGTGTGGTGTATCCCGTGGATCTGAAAATCTGATGTAATATGCAGTGGCTCCCTTCCTGTTTACCTGTCCATGCTTCCCTGTGCTGGTAGCCAAGTCATGCGAATTGTGGGGCGGAACCAGCTCTTGGCTTTGTAGAGTCTTAGGACTCTGCCGTGCTGGGAATCTGAGGATTAGGACAGGGGAGGAGCGCCAAGCCTGACAGCTCAAGAAGCATTTGGACAATACTCTCAGGCACATGGTGTGACACTTGGGGATGGTCCTTTGCAGGGCTGAGATTTGAGCTTGATGATCCTTTTGGGTCCCTTCCAACTTGGCATGTTCAGTGATTGCCCACAGTGTATGGGTGAAGGGAACATGGTTATGCAGTGCCTTAGAGGAAAGGGGGTCTTGAAATTGAAGAGGTGTGTTGTGAAAATAGCCTACATTTGTCAGTTTGTTGTCCACAAAGAGATGTGATTGTTTCCTTCTGCCATTTTGCAGTTTTCAAGTCAGAGAGGTAAAAATGTGCAGGATCAAACTCATCTTCTGTAGTAATTTGGCATTTTTAAAGCAAGCTCCAGCCTTTCTGCATTATCGGAAGAGTTCATATACTAATTTACAAGCAGGTGCACAGGAAACATTCACCAAAATTATAGTGTATATATAATAAATCATAGTATTGTAGATCTATAGTATAAACTATAGTATATCTAATAATAAAATATAGTATATCTAATCTATGTCGTGATGTATTTACATTGATTATATAATTGATAAGTAAAATTTTACTTCAAAAGGCACTTTACGTACAGCATCTGCACACCTTGATTGCTAATGGAAACTTGCTGTGCTGTATAAAGAAAAGGTTAGCAAACATGCTTATTCACAGGACTAAATTCTGCTATTAGTTTTACAATGTAAGCAGATAGTAACAAGTTAATCAAACTACTTTTTTTATTTATATGGGCAAATAATGGAGAGAGCTTTCATGCAGACACCTCAGTTTTTCTACAGAGCAGACATTTCCTCCCAATATATGTGGAAGCAGACAGCTAGGCCCTTTAATCTCACAAGAGCTTGAGAGAAGAAAACTGCCTAACAGCTTGTAAGTGGACCTTGCTTCTCAGACATCTGTAGCTTCACTGGGAAAGTCTTGGTGGAGTGTGCTCTGACAACCTACCAGTCTTGCGATGTGGTCTTATACACTTGGACATACAGTTAGTGCTTTTGCTGAGATGATCACGCTCCTGGATTTCTCTATATTGAAAAAGAGCCACCTGAAAGACTGAAGTTATGAGTGCAAAAAAGGAAAGGTTTCTTTATCTGGCGTGTGAAGTGACTTTGTCCTAGAAAAACATTACTGGCGTATTCTTGGTAATTTAAGTAAAACTGGTAACTTTGGAGGTGGCTTCAAAGCAAGACTATGGATCTATCTTCAAAACCCAAATCTTGTCTGCTCCTAGTAGCAAGGAAGGCTGCCTGCAAAGGAAGATACCATAGATAACATGTTGCTAAGGGGTGAAAATAAGGAATTTCAATCCTAAATTCCTTTTGATTTATCCCATAGTTATGGCAACAAGACATAAGGATGCAGAATGTGACAACAGTCTCAGTTTCTATGGAAGCCTGGTGTAAATCGCTAAACTGTTTTGCTGAATGACACAAGTAAATGGTACATTAGCTCCGTGATTTTATTCCTTTTGTTGCACAAAATTCTGTTGTGGAAATTCTGGTATGTCATCAGTAAAAATAGAAAAGGAGAGTGGGGCTAAAATGTGTCCCTTTGGGAAGAATGAGAATGGCTGTTTCTTTCAGTGTTGTTTTTCTGTGTGGAAGTTAGGGAATTACACACATTACATCTGCATACGTGCCTGTGCATACATTTACATAAGTCTAGAAACATAAGAATAAGCTTCATACTTGTGGTACTATTTCCTGTCTGGGGAGCTCTCGATTACTGTGAGCTGTGCTGACTGAAAAGCTCAGTCTGTCACCAGAGTTGTTTATACTGCTTACATTACTACTGCTTTAAGCTGATATGCCTAACATGTGATACATGACTGTAGTTTTTCTGAAAGGGTGCTTTCACTCAGTGTACTAAAGATATACTTTTAATATTTCTTTTCAGGTTTTATAGGGTGGTTGCTCGGCATGGGAATTAATATTCATTCTGATCATATTCTCAGAAATCTGAGAAAACCAGGGGAAAGTGGTTACAAGATACCAAGAGGTAAGTAAAAAATGGTAGAGATTAAAATGGCAAAAGTAGTATCTCTCATATGAGAAGCAGTAAAGAAAGCTGGGACTGGAGAAGAGGCTCATTTTATTTTTTTTCTCTTAAGCCAAATATTGTGAGGAGTCTGTTTCATGATATCACTTGGCTTGTGCAACTCTTTGGACTTCTTAAACCAACTTTGGCTGTATTTTTAAAAAGGGGTAAAAATGTCACAGCATTCCACAACTTTTCTGAGAAGCAGCAGGAGGGTGGAGAAAGAAGACCTAAATTATCAACCCAGTGTTAGGGCAGGAGGGGAATGCAGAAAGTACTCAATGGCTGGCCCATCTAATGTCCCATGTGTGAAGAGGGAGGTACCTTAGGTAATCAGAGAGCAGCAACTACTGTGGAAAGGGAGACACAGTAAAAGGAGGACAGAAATCCAAACAAAATAGGGCACTATGAATTCTGGCCTTCATGGGAAAAGGGAGAATATGAAAGATTTTCTTATGGAGCCTGTTGAAGTGTTAAAGTTTATTATTGCTTTTGGAAACATTAGACTCTTTCAGATACATTGCAGTCACTGAGAGAAGAAAAATAATACTATCTCTGAATTCTGTTTCTCTGGGGTTTTTTGTTAGTTGTTACTTTTTCTTGGTTGTTAAGGTTTTTTTTTAATATAACTGGAAGAATTAAGATATATAAGGCAGTAGACTTTTTCACTCAGAAGATAACTTATAATTTTAATAGATGTAAATCCAAGTGCTCATGTAAAAAATGAATATGAACATACTGTACTGTGTTCAGTGCACAAAAAAGTTCTGAAGTAAATAAGATGTCATTTGCTGTGAGATCAGGAGGAGCTGGTCTTTTTGATGTTGCTTATCCAGTTTAAGTGCTAGAATTTCACCTCTCTTTTGTCAAAAGGGTCGAGCAATTAAAGCAAGGTCAAAACATGTCCTTTATTACAGTTGCCAAATACTTGTTTGTTTAGTTCCACTGGTAAAAGGCATACTGAGATGTTATCGATTTCTATGCTGACTTTGGAATTGGGGTGAAAGTTCTTATTTTATAAAATTCCTGACAGGTGAGTACCACTTGTTTATGCATAATTGTACAACGGATTTAATGCAGACTGCCAGTTACTTTTCTCACTGAGTATCAGGGCTGAAGCAGTAAACCTCATGAGGAATGGGAACAAAAGAGCAACACATTTTAAGCTAGAGAATAAATTTGGGACTTTACTTAATAATAATAATAATAATAATATTGTTCATAATTAACTTAATTTCTGAAGTACTTAAAGAAATGAAACGTAGCCTAACTAACCCTGTGAGTATTTTCTGAGACTCAAGGGGAGCATGTCCTCTATGTTTACATATTATAAAAAAGGTTTATGATCAAAGAGACAGTTTGCTGCCATTGTTAAGTAACTATTTACAAAGGCATGTACTTGCTTCTGATACGAGTAAATCTGCTTTTCTTTCATTATTTAAAGAGGAAAAATGGACCTGCAGAAGGTCTGTCTTAGAAAGAGGCCTGAAGTGATCCTTCATAGCACAGCTTGAACTGGAAAACACTGCTTCCACCGCCTTTTAAATTATATAGAGACATTGGTGATGTAGCTCTTATTTGATGTACAGTAAAAGATAGCACTGGACATCTTGATTAAGGTGCTTTTGAAATAACTCTGTCCTGCTTTCAGGAGGAATGTTTGAGTATGTCAGTGGAGCCAACTTTTTTGGAGAGATTCTGGAGTGGTTTGGGTTTGCCCTTGCCTGCGGCACTACTGAAAGCCTTGCATTTGCATTGTGTACTCTTTTCATCTTGGGTTCAAGGGCAAGGCAACACCATCAGTAAGTGGTTTTTCTCTTATAATTTTTCTTGTCTCTGCCACACTGCATTTACATTTCACAAATTATGCCGCATCCCATAGCAATGTTGCAGAGCAAGTCTTGTGAAAGAGACTGCTGCTGTAGGGGAGAATATTATAGAGAATACTCTGAGAAGAATAAGCACTGCAGAGTTTCAGCAGAATAGTACTGAGCATAAACACACACGATGTACAACGAGGTGGTCAAAATAATGTTTAAATGAAGGAAGTTCATCCTGAATCTGTAAAAATTATGGACAAGTTTGGCAGTATTGTCTTAAATGATCATATACTCTATTTTCCCTTGCTGCTTGAACTGGTTTCTACAATATTAAAATTTTGAAAATCACTCTAAAGTAGTCTTTAGTAGGCATGCTTTATAGCCAAGTCTCTATCATATTGTCTACAATCAAGTGAATGAACAATATGAAAACAGTTCTAGTACATAATAATAAAGTCTCTGCTCTAATTAAACAGTTTGACTGCTAATGTACTGTATTCATAATGTGGCTTTCTTGTTAAAGACCATAGTTTGTGGAGAGTAGTTTCTTGATTCTCTTTAAGGAATAGCATGTTTAAAGGAATTTGAACATGTTAATCTTATTTTGGTTATTCTCAGCTTCCTGCTTTGGTTCTCATGCTGAAACCTAGTGACATAACAGGAAATAAGCCTGAATATCTGGAGAGAAATAGGTTGAAAAAAATGCCATTGCTGACTATCTGTGGGGGCAGCCATGGGTATGTCTAGTGGAGTCCTGAAAATTTCCAGAAACAGGTTTTCCTGCACCTTGTCTGTAGGGTGTTCTAGGTCTGTATTACCCTCCTAATGAACAAGTTTTTTGTACTGTCCAACTCGAAACTTCCTGACCTGTCACCTATTGACCATCTTTTCTTATTTTATCGTCTGCTATTAGTGAGCAGAGTTGCAGAGTATCTTGGGTTAGGAGGAGTACCTGAAGGTTGTCCAGTCAGCTGGTGTGACCTACAACAACTGCCCTTTTGCACAGGGCCTCATCCAGTTGAATTCTGAGCGTCTCCAAGGGTGGAGGCTTCAGCACATCTCTGGCAAAGTGCTGAAACAGGATTTTCCTCATTCTCATGAGGAAGAGGGTTTTTCCTTATGACCAGTTGGAATATTCCATGTTGCAGCTTTTATCTCCTGGCACACTTGCTGTGTGCCTCCAGGAAAGGTATGGCTTTGCCTTCTCTTTAATATCACAATAGGTGATGGAAGAATGCAATTAGATGTGCCTCTTTGCTTCTTTTCTAGGCTGAACAAACCTAGTTCTCTCAATGTCTCCTCTTATATCTTCTAGCTATGAGTTGTCTTACTGACCATCTGCTGGATTTTTCTCCAGTTTGTGGATATCTCTGTTGCACAGGAAGCCAACAACTGGAGGCAGTAATGCAGATAGATGCTCTCAACTGCTAAATGGTGAAGAGAATAAGCCCTTCCTTTGACTTGGTGGCTCTGTACTTGTTAAGGGAGGCCAATGTGCACTTGGCCTTCATCATTGCAGGGATGCACTATTGACTCATCCTTCACTTGTCCACCAGGATGTCCATGTCCCTTTGTGCACAACTGCTATCTAGCCAGGCAGTCTCCACCCTGCACTTTTGCATGGGGCCACTGCATTCCAGCTGCAAGAGTTGGTGTTTCAGTCATAACTTTGCTCCATTGTCTTAAGTAGTTCCCCTTCCATGACCTGCAGGCAGCACTTGTAGGTAGAAGTAACAGGGCCCCTTAGTCTCCTCCTTGCCAGGCTAAGCAATGCCAGGTTCCTCTTTATATATTATGCTCTTCGGGTTCAAATTCCATGGTTCGTTTCCATCAATCCTAAGCCTTGATGGCACTCTTTCAGACCCTTAGGAAAAGCTAAATGTTGTTAAAGGAAGTAATTTGCACTAATGGAAAGATGCATAAAAACAAAAGAGGGATACAAGAAGAAAACCCCAAACAAATAAAAATAACAAATCCATGTAAGTGAAGAAACATTTTAGTGCAGTCTGTTTAGTTTCAAAAACTTAGAATAAATTACTGAAATGGAAAAATAGTGTAATGATGGTATTCCACAGCTGCAGGTTATTGTGCATTGCATGTTTTGTCTTCTGTTTATTCCAGCTTTGATCTTGGAGTTAGCAATTGATAATATGAATATCTGCACCTTTGAGAAGCCTGGGTGAAGTTAATTCTTTTATTTCAGAGAAGCAGAAGAATAAGTATTTGAAAATGGGAGTAAATGTGTTTGTTATCCAAGGCGAAAAGACAAATAATAACATTTAATAGTGCTATGTATTTCTTCTTTGTTAATTGTCTGGATTTGAAAATACTGATGTCTTTGAAAGGTATTAGCAGTGAGGCTAGTGTAATGTTTGTCATGTTCTGTTTAATTATCCAAATCCTTTGGAACTGACAATGTTTCTATGCAGAATCATTACTATGTGAAGTAACCCTTGCTTCTGTGTGAAGTCATTAGGCAATTACATGGTTTTAGTTTAATTTCTTCCCCCTCTAGTTCTGAAATGCAAATACTCAGGATGCATAACAACATACATTTTTAAAGAACAGTTTATTCCTTCCCTGACTGCTCTCACCACATCTGTTGGTTTGATTTCCCATTGCTGGCAGAACAACTTAGTTTTGTTGTAGTTGATGATTAGATGTTGTTAGGATAAGTGCAGTAAATGCCGTTTTTGTATCCAGAGTAGTTCTAAAGGCATATTTTTTGTTTGTAGACAGAAAATATATGAATTATATTGAACACATTGTACAATCACTTAATGTCCTCAACAACAACTCTATACTCATCAGATTTCTGTCTTTGTTTTACAGATGGTACCTTGAGAAATTTGAAGACTACCCAAAGGACAGAAAAATTGTGATCCCATTTTTGTACTGAGCTGTGCTTTTAACACTGTCTGAGATGGATGCTTTTAGTAACAGCTAACATTTTACAGGTGGTGGCAAGTTAAAAACATACTCTCATCCTCACTGTGACAAAGCCTTTCCATCAGTGCTGCTATTACTTACTTCTTTTTCCTCTTAATGGTAACCAAGAATCTGATGGACATGGTGAATAGGAACAGAAATGCTTTTCCAGCAGTGAAGCACCTTCCTGAACACCTTAGGCAGTGAGTCTGACTGCCTGTGCAGGCTTCTGCTGTTTCCACTCAATCTAGTCACGCTGTCCTGAGCATTCTGCCGTGAGCCCAGTCACTCTCACTGCAGTCTGGATGGTGTGTTCCGCCTATTATTTGCCTACATACACAAATAGGGTTGATTTCATTTTTTCTTCCTTGCCTTTCTAATCCTTTCTTCCCTCCACCTGCATTTTCCGGAGAGCTGATGATGCAGACCAAGGAATTAAATGAATGTAGTTGCTGTTAGGTGAGAGGCAATGTTCCTCCTCTTTGCACTCTTTCATGTGGATATTGTATAGATAATTCTATACAGGATACTGTATAGATAATATTTAATGCTATTTACATAAAAGTTGTAGGGCTATCTTCCCCAAGTAATAGATTAATATTGTCATCTACCTCTTAAAATTGATAGCTATCTCAATATGCAATATGTGTCTTCTCACTCTAAACTGTTTTTGGAAGGCATTCTTTACTTAGGATACTTAGGCCAGTCTAGCACTATTAAAAAATGTGTAATATTTTCTAACTCACTTTATAAAAAAACCTTGGGATTTTTACAAAATTTTCTTACTATGTTGTTTTAAAAAATCAAGTGTTTTTCTTCTTCTGTTCATTTTAGATGATTTTATATTCTGGAATATAAATTAATGTCAGTGCTCATACTCCAACATTTTACTCATGAAGGACTCCAGAATGCTTTCAAGAGCATGATGGGATTCCAAGCATACAGACTTTCAAGTTTCAGGCACATCTGTGTGCTTTGCATGATTGTGATAATAAAGAATTTTTTAGAATTCCTAAGGAAAAAAACTCAACAGAAACTAATTTAAAAAAAAAATCCAACAAAAAAGAAAACAAAACAACAACCAAATTATAGCAATTAAAAAAAAAGGCAAAAAAACCCACAACAAAACAAACAAGTGAACAACACAGAAAAAAACTTCCACAAAATCAAAAAATTCTGTTGCTCTAATGTAATGTGGAAATAAATGAAAATCAAACTTTTGACGTGTCTTCTGATCTCTTTGCTCTTTATGTTGGATTATGTTCTTCAAAGCAAGTTGATAATATAGTTTTGCCAGATACTGAGTTTTCCAGTATGATATTGCAGTAAGATTTGTCTAAAGCTCAAAAGTCTTTCTTTGCTGTTGAATTACAATGCTGTAGTAATCAAGGTAATGTATCGGATGAAATTTACCTTTAAAATTTTAGAGATTAGTTTTCTAACTTACCTAGAGCTGAGCCCTTGGACTGCCAATTGCTCCTTATAATGTTGACTGGGAGGATGATTGTCCTGCTCTCAGCCAGTATGCAAAAAGTCCATCTTTGGGAGAACACAGGAGTACCTTGGTGTCAGTGTTATTGCTTGATTCTCAAATTGTTTAATAATTCCTTAGTGTTTACATGTTTCTTCAGTGTTTTACAGGAAGTTTGAGGCTTTCCCTGTTGTTTTTGTTATCACACTATAATTTAACACTTTGATCATAGCTGTTTTGATGAACACTCAGTCATGATGTTCCCTGGACAGAGAAAGGATAGTGAGGACGATGATTTACTCCTCAATGCTAAAATAGAGTTAGAGGACAATAAAAGTTCAGTAGGATCACTTAAAGCATATTCTTAAGACAATTTTAGAAACCTAGTCTTATATATAAGGATATTTCTAAACACTGTCACATCGCTGTAGCAGTTTTTTAAATTTTGCTGTCTAAATCATCTAGCTATCAAAATCTGTTTTAGTTGAAAAAAAGACAAAGAGCACTATCTAGTCAAAGTGTTTAATTACTTCCATAGTTTATAGTGAATTAGTATCTTGTACCTTCAGGGATATTTGCTAAAAAACCACTAATGGGACAACCAACCATCACTAATGGACAACCAACCAACCTCAAACAATCTGGCTGCAGCACTTTAGTCTCTAATATATTTATTTTTTTTTCCTTTTATGAAAAGGCAAAGCTTCTTTTAGTAGTAAACGGCAAGAGAAAGGTCTCTGTGTTCAGTATGTCTCCTCCTATTCAAACTCTTTAGATCTCTATGGTCAGTAGTCTTTTATCATAGTTCACAAAAAATTTGTACTGATGCCTCAGTTTTGTTCTGCTACTATGCTGCTAAATACTTCTCTTGGCTAAAAGTTCAGCTCCTTTGCTCACATAATGCTAATTTATGATTTGCCTATAGTGGGACGGGATTCTGAAATGTGATGATCAGACAGCTTATCCTTGTTCCCTCTCTTAGAGAAAAGGAAAAGCTAAGGTCTATGGGATGTGAATGTCAGTGTGTTTAGAAATTCTAGCCAATTGGATTAACAACAACAAAATCAAACCAGAATGTTTCATTCTTTGTGTGATTATATTTATTATTATCACCATACTTCTAGAACCTTCCATAAGTAAAGTGCAGATTTTATTTCAGGCAGTTTATTAGAGTACAATCTTACGAAGAGCAGCTGAGGAAGCTGGTGTTGTTTAGCCTGGAGAAAAGAAGGTTCGGGGGAATCTTAATGCTCTCTACAACTACGTGAAAGGAGGTTGCAGCAAGGTGGGGATGTTGGGGTCTTCTCCCAGGTAACAAGTAACAGAATGAGAGGGAATGGCCTCATATTGTGCTGGGGAGGTTTAGATTGGATATTAGGAAAAATTTCCTCACTCAAATGGAAGTGTTGAAACAGGCTATTCAGGGAAGTGGTGGAGTCACCATCCCTGGAGATATCTAAAATACATGCAGTTGTGGCAATTTGGGGATATGATTTAGTAGTGGACTTGACAGTGCTGGGTTAGAAGCTGGACTGAGTGATCTTAGGGTTCTTTTCCAACCTAAATGACTCTGTGATTCTTGCATTTCAAGACCCAGGTACATTGGCAAATGATCAACTTGGTCAAATGCTAGAACTGCCTTTTGTTTAAACAGTATCCCACTTATTTGTCATAATTCGCTTGTGATCCCTTCCTGTTTTAGCAGCTTTGACAGAATTTTTCTGTTGGAAAATATCTAATACTGAAAAATTTTTCTTAAGAATATGTAGTGTGAAAATAAACTCTGTTCAGCCCATTCCAGAGGGAGAAAACACGCATGCTTGCTATTGGGTTATAATATCTGTAGTGATTTTTTTATTTTTTTTGTAGAGATACTTCTAGTCAGATTGCCTACATCTTTCCCTAAAATTCCCTACTAATAAAATATGATTTGCGGTGTCTTGCTTGAATACTTTTTTTTTCTTGTTAGTAATCCTTGCTCTAACTTGTGGAGGTTGATCAAGGCTTTTGTACCAGCAGTTTCATTCTCCCAGTTGAGATCTTGGGGAGTGTAATAGTAAGGTTGGATTAGAATCCCCTAGATGTGTATGTGAACTATACAAGACACACTCATCATCATCATGGCTAGGCTTCGCGAACGAAGATTTGGGAAGGGCTCTACCCACGTTTCTTGCAAGCGCGTTGGTGGCTAAAAAGGCCAATACGAGAAAGGCATGTCCGGTTGCAAAAGACACAGCAGAAAGACTCCTTAGATGGTATATTCTGCAAGGCTCGATTCTTTCTGCGTTGTCTCTTCTCCTCAAGGGTGATCCTGCATGCTTTCTCAAAAGCATCAGCAGCATTATAGATGGATTGTCTCCAGGCCTCCCGATTGGAGGCCAGAGTAGACCAGTTATGGTGATCAATATGCCCGAGGCTGAGTTGTTGCTTCAGGGAGTCCTTGTATCTTTTCTTCGGGGCTCCTCTCTTGTGGCAGCCAGTGGCAAGTTCACCATAAAGCACAATCTTAGGGAGGCGGTGGTCCTTCATCCTGGAGACATGCCCTGCCCATCACAGCTGCGTTCTCAATAGCATGGCCTCAATACTTGTGATTGCTACCTGTTCAAGAACAGATGTATTGGTCACATAATCTGTCCAGTGGATGTTTAGGATTGTACGGAGGCAGCGTTGATGGAAGCGTTCTAGGAGACGCAGGTGGTGGCGGTAGATGACCCATGATTCGGAACCATATAAGAGAGTAGACAGCACTATGGCTCTGTAAACACTGATCTTGGTACTTTTCTTCAAGTGTTTATTACGCCATACTCTTTTATGGAGTTTTCCAAAAGCACTATATGCCTTCGCTAACCTGTTGTCTATCTCCCTGTCAATCTTACCATCCGGAGACACACTCAAAGCCATTATTAAATGTTACAAAATAAATTTGTCTAGTCATACATTCTTTATTACCTAAAGCAGAGTATGTAGCTGAGATGTTCTACACTTGAAGTTAGAGCAAAGATTAACAGAAGCAGAGGATACTTGTTTGGGTTCTTCTGCTTCTAGGTCACTCTTAAAAGAGCTGTAGCGCTTGCTGTTTTAACTATTTAATTGTGGTTCAGCACAATATTATCCTTCTGTGGAGTGAAGATAATGTATGAATGACTTGTCCATACAAACTTGTATTCTACCACCAGTCACAAAATCCTGAGTGCCTACCACAGAGTTTTTTTAGCCTGTTTGTGAAACAGCTCTAATAAGCACCTGTTTGTGATTGAAATATATTAGTCATTTTGATATAAGACTGTCCCGGCCTGTTCTATGCTATTAAGTTTTACCAATAATAGTTGCAGTTGTTGGGAAAGCCTTTCGGATGTACATCAGTCTTATGAAGACAGCAGACTGCTGGGTAAAATTGCACCACTTTTTGCAGTGATGCAACATTTATCATCATCTCTATGCCCATGCAAAAATATATGAAATACATGTAAGCAAGCAATTGTGGAAATTAGTGTTGCAAGACAACTAAGGGGTAAAGCCTAAAACAAGGTTTGCATCTGAGAGAGTTGCACAACTGAAGCTTGCTCTTAAACTTCTTAAAACAACATATTTTGTACATCCCTTGCTTGGTTTACCATGTTTGCTTAAAACTCAAAGCCGATACATGATGCTTTGTTGTGTACAAGTGGATAGTGGAAGCAGTAGGTTATTTGTTTGCAGAGATGAAGGAAAACCCGTGTAACAATTGATATAACATTTGGTGTAATGTTTCTCTGAAGATGATGCATTACCAACGTGCTAGCAAGAGCCTTTCAGTGGTGTTGTTTGTCCCTGCTCCCTAATATTTGCAGCCTCTTGTTTTGGAAATACCTGTCCAGTTTCTAAGAGAACACAAGTGGCTGAATCTGAAGAGAGAGCACTAGCGAAGCCACACATTCCAGCTGCTCTGGGAGGGTGCACTCCATTTCTCTTGAGCTATTGAAAGGGAAAACCACTGCAAACTTAGTTATAAACTTCTGCCAGAAAAGAAAGAGCTGTGTGATCTGTGAACCAGGGTTCAAACATTGATCAGCACTGTCAAGACTAAAGGCTAGTCCAACGTTAGCTAGGAAAACCTACCCCAGATACCTGCTATTATTGTGTCCTGCTGTTTGCTGCATTGGTTAGGGATTATATCTTTTTAATCTATGTCAGTGTATTGGTGAACAGTCCAAGAGCCTTCCAGCTATGCCCCTTGCTCCATGTGTTGTATTTGCTGGAGGAGACCAACCAGATGCTGTGCAAAGCCAGGGTTCTGCCAGTGTGCAAGGAAACCCTGTGACAAAGCAGCCCAGTGCAATAGCACAGATTTGCAGAATTTTAATGTTTTGTGAGGGCAAATATGCTTCCTCTTTTATTCCCTGCCTGTCTCTTTTGAAAATGGTGGTGGTATTGGAACAGGAGAACTGACTTGAAAGTCCCAAATAGTATTGTGGAAGTGTTCAAGCATTAAAGGAGAGTGATCAGTATATACTAACATCAGTAACCAAAGATGGAAATAGTGCTTATTATGCTTCAAATAATCCTT